CAGACAGAGAGGACAAACCAGACGATGGAGCAGTTAATCTGTACAAACTGCCCCGACATCACCAAGTGGGAAGATTCCCTTCCCATGCTCGAGTTCGCGTACAACAATGCTCCATCTGCGACGACCAATCAGTCACCGTTCTACCTCAATTACGGGATAGATCCGGTGGTACCCTCGTCGACGACCCCTGAAAATCCGGTACCACGATCGCAGCAGTTCGTCCGGAACTTCAAGCAGCACGCGATAAAGCAGCGGAATTTATCCGAAAGGCTAATACAGCCGCCAGCCGCTACGCGGACCGACATCGACGGACTTTACCCTTCCGTGACGGGCAAATGGTCCTTCTAGACACGAAGCACCTCAAACTGCCCCAGCCCGCAAAATTGCGTCCCCGCTACGTGGGACCTTTCCGCATCATTCGGATGCTGACACCGGTCACGGCGAAACTTCTCCTACCGGACGACTGGAAGATCCACGACGCTTTCCACGTCAGCCTCCTCCGCCACTACGTGGCTCCGCAGCCGTCCGACGTCGCTCGACCCAACCTGGCGCCAAGTGTCCGACCTGTGGCAGATCCGACACTTCAACCTTGGAAGATCTTGAATCACCGCATTCGTGCGACCCCCGCTGGACGCCACGTTGACTTCCTGCTACGCTGGGTGGATCGCACAAGCGAAGATGACACGTGGGTCCCCGCTGACTCACTCCAAGGGCACTCGGTCCTTCGGGATTATCTCTCCCGCCGACGTGTGCCTGATGTTGACCACCTTTCTTAAGGGGGGGGGTAGTGTAAGGAATTTCGCTAATTCCTTACTGAGGCTGTTCTTACGCGTACAATTCCAACCTTCGGAATTCAGGCTCGGTCCGACGACCTCGCCTTCCGAACGTCAACCGCGTCGCCTTCGGGTTTTCCAACCCCAAACCTGCACCCAACCTTCGCGCGACTCCGCGACCTCGGCCTAGCTAGCCTTGCTATATTGTGCCTAGGCCTCGTTGTTCGATCAGTAGTTGTAATCACTTCCGCGATATTGCATGATGCGCACTCTCCATTCTTACAACCCATAACAGTTTGTGTGCAGTCAAACAAGGCTCAGTTGGAAACCTGGTAACACCAACCAGCCTTAGGAAGCAAATTTGGCCTTCTTTGACCCACGGGTTTTAACACTGCCTAATTCTGTTGCTCGACGTTCCTAAGGTAGGGTATCGTTCTGTTTGTGAATAAGCAGTTCGGGCCTTCTGCACAAGCACTGCGGGATGAGTTTTCCTCGAAGGGGTAAACCCTCCCGCGGCCTCGACGAAGTTTGGTGTTAACGACAAAACGGGCATGCAGCAGCCCATGTTTTTTACCGTTCACCATGCCTAGTCTGCCTTGGGTGCTCAAAAGGTTTCGTCTCGACCACTCACAAATCTTCGCTCGTTGTGTTCATCCTTGCTTCTCATTTAGTATGTTTTTGTGGTGAGTAATTTCATCGCACAATTTCCCGAAATCGGGCGTTTAGATCTGCCCGTTTTTTGTTGTGCGCCCCCTTATCTCTCCTCGGATGGGCGGATAAGGTTCGCACGAGCGGTGCCTCCATTTTGCCCGTAACAGAAGTTTCGAGTTAATGTCCGAACACACTAGCTGTGTTGCGTTCTTTTACCAATGGGCGCACAAGAGATGCTACCAGGTTCGGTACACAATAAAGAATTTGGAGGCTCGACGTGGGCTTTAAGCATGTCTCTGCGCGTTCCTAGAATATTCGTCAGGGGAGCCCAGCACCCCGAATGCGGCAAGAGAACGATACCTAGGAGTTATCTGGGACTGTCGAGCTGATGTGAAATCAGTCCGACGCGAATCCAGTCAGTAATGTCTGAAAGAATGCGAGGACCTCGGGAGGTATCGTACTGACGTGAAGTGCGAGAGTACGAACGAACTTGAAGTGCCACGAAACGGACTGCGCTCGATTGTGCATTTTGGTGGTTTGAACTTTGAAGTTCAATTTTGATAACTAGTGTTTTCAGGTTTGCAGACTCTCGTCGCGCAGTGCGCTAGAGTTCGCAAGCCCCCCGCCCCCACCCCCCCCCCCCCGCCCCCCCCAAAAACCACAAACTCGCGCCAAAGATCGTGCGTGGGGAGGTGTAACCCTTCTCTTCTCTTCAACGTTTCTGCACCTCGTCTCCTCAGCTTAGCTCTCTTCCGCACGGTGTGCCACCGCCGCAGTCCTGTTTCAGTAGTGCCTCAAGATGCCATATCCTCCTCAGCTTCGCGATTAATAGACCCTGCAGGAGTCACCGATCTAATGGACTCTCACACGAGCATAGACAAACTTCCTGACGACGTACTCGGGAGGATCTTATTCGGCTACGAGCGGCCCGTGCGTAGAAAATCCGATAGTGACGATTTATGGAATTCGCTTTTATTGTTTCCGGTCCCGTGGTACCTCCCTGAAGTTCGTGATGATAAGGAGACGGCTTTGCCCATTTCTCCTCCTTCTGCGAACATCCGCCATATTCTCTGCATTTCCTCCCTCTGCCGTCGCTGGCGCCGTCTCTCACGCCACTACGTCAACACGCTTCTCATCGACAACGACACGCCTTCCGTTTCCAGCCTTGTTCTGGCAGACAGTCTCGATCTCTTTCCAAATCTAACCCATCTCCATCTGTGCAATAATCGCGTGAGCGGTTTGAATGACGCCTTCCTCTCTCGCCTCGCCTCGTCATGCCCGGAGCTTAAGATTCTCCGCATCGGAACTGTGAGGCTGGATGGCTTTGGATCGGCAAAAAAAGAGCACCCAATCACAATCGACGGCTTGGATCTGTTTTTCGGACGGTGCTCTCGATTGGAGCAGCTTTCTCTTTCCTGCTTCGATCCAGACGTTCAGCTGCAGCTGCCTGCCTCCTTCTACCGGTTACCGCATCTGCACACACTTGTGCTCCCGAATCTTTCAATACTCGAACCTCCGGAGTTTGCAAGCCTCACTTCTCTAACCCGCCTTCATTTCCTTTCAAATGATATCCCCACCAATCAGCAACTAGCCAACCTCGCTCGCCTCCCAAGCATCACCTGTCTTTCCGTTTCAGATGACACCAATTATTACCCTCTCGATCTTAAGGACCCTCTTCAGCTCGATCTCGCTCATTTGCCTCTCCTCAAGTCGTTGAAATTCGGTTTTCGCCTGTCTTTAACGTCGTTCTGCACCAGCATCGAACGGCTAGAGATCAGCTCAATGTACCCAGAAGACTGGCAGCACCTTCCTAACGACTTTGGATTGCTGCTACCGTGTCTCCGCGAGCTGACCCTTTCCGGCGCGCTAGACAATTCATACTGGCCTGACATTTCACTGCCCTCGACTTTCGGTTCGTTAAGTAGATTAGAAAGCCTGACCGTTTCTGACTGCCCCGGGCTTTCCAGGTTGCCCCAAGAATTTGGGAACCTGCGTGCTCTTGAAACGCTGGTTCTGCAAAACCTGTCTCTTCAACGCCTCCCTAACTCCATCGTTCAGCTTCCTGCCCTGAAAACACTGGTGCTGCACACTCTCCCTCTCTCCCGCCTCCCTGATTCCATCTGCCATCTCACCTCCCTGGAAACACTGACGCTGTACAGCCTAAGCCTCTTTGGCTTCCCTGACTCCCTCTGTCAACTCACGTCCCTACAGACATTCTTCTTGATAGAGTGCATCAGCACCAAGCAGAAAGCTCTCCAGCTGTCTCCATCTTTTTGTGGCCTCACTGCTCTCCAGACCCTTTGCATCGCGGACATGCCGCAACTGAGGGTTCCAAAGAATATCGGGGATCTCTCTAAGCTAGAAACGGTATTTCTGTACAAGCTGCAGCAGCCGCAGCTGCCGTCCACATTCACCCAACTGTCCTCTCTGACGCGGCTTGAACTGAGCAGCTGCATGATTCAAGAGCTTCCTGACGACCTGGGGGATCTGACGAACCTGCAGGAATTGCTCATCCATTCCTGCCCTAAACTTGTGAAGCTTCCAGAGTCCCTGACAGTCCTTTCAAACCTCGAGATTCTCATCATCAAGGATTGTAAAATGTTGGATTTCCCTGAGAGCCTGGAGAGCCTTAAGCTTACATGGCCTGAGTCGATCAGGGGAGAGGGTCAAGGTTCAGTTGACCTGCCAGCTGTCTCCTTGCTGCCGAAGTTGAGAAAGCTAGTCTTAGCATCTCCGGTTGTAACATCCTCCCGCAGCCCCAAATGTGGGAGATGATGAATGAGTGGTCAGCGTGGTGAAGCATGGTCCATTGCCAAGCCAACATGATGTCTAAGCGTGTGGTGTTGGTTGGCCTTGTAAGTTTTTTAGGTACGGTAAGAGGATCTGTGTGGGTAAAAGGGTGTGTATGGATGTACCTGTATATACGGTACTGTTAGTATCTGTAAGTCTTACAGCGAACTGCTCCTGAAGTAATTTAAAACAAAGTCCCAATCAGCTCAGAGATGGTGTTTGCGTGCGTGCGTATGTTCGCTTCCCTCCTATCACCCCGTACCGTCATCGCCCGGATATAAGACATATATGTCTTATCTCGTACACGGGCAAAAATGCTTGCTGTATCTTGTAAACGGGATGGTTTAGGGTGTCTTATAAATCTTATAAATGGAAAAAAATTGAAGTTGAGTGTAACACTTGCAAAGTGTGTAGAAAACACCCAGGGACCAGATTCATTGAAACAGGCCGCCCTCGGTGGCCATGCATGCACCGCCCACACTTGCCACGCAAGGGATGCAGCAAAGCTGCCACCGCTGGCAAGATTCCTCTGTGCTGGCAGGATTCCTCTGTGCTGGCAGCATCTAATGATGCTGCCAGCGTCGTTTTGCTGCCAACAGCGCATGGCAGCTTCCAGAAGGCTGCCAGCAGCACGTTGGCAGCAACAGGGCTGTCCTCTACGAGGGAGCGGCTCGGCACCTGTGGTTTGGGCACTCTGGCAGGGGGGGTAGTCGGGCTTTCACTTCATTTGGTGCTCATGGAGGTTGAGTTCTCACCTCAACCTTGCTCTCGGCAGGCTCTCTAACCATGCGCAGCAAGGTACCCCTAGGCAAGTCCTCACCTCGTCCTCACGTCCATGTGAATAACTACGGGCGAATCAACTCGCCCGGCGATGACATCCGCGTAGCCATGGCGAAGAACGCGAGCAAGGCGGGAAGTCCTATCGCCGCCTCCGGTGCGAGCTGTAACGGGGACGACCAAGACGAAGCACAAGGCGACGACGCGGAGGAGGATTGGCCGGAGAACGGCCACGATGACAGCGCTTCGGGCGACGAATTAGGTCCTGCCGACATTGAGGAGGACGAATGGTGGAATCAGCCGGTCGGGAGTGACGACGAGGTTGAAGAGTGGCGGGCTGGTGATTCCGACGGAGACGGAGGTGAAGATGCTGGCGGGGAACACGCGGAGGCACAGGAAGCGGCGGTGGCAGCCGACGAGGCCGAGGCGGAACGGAGAACCACCTGGTGATGTCTCACCTGCGCGCCAGGAGCACCACCGATGTCTCCGCGGACATGTCCCTCGAGGGGACCACAGGCGACAACACGCGCCTGCTCGGGAAGGCTCCAGGAGGAGGAGGAGGAGGAGGAGGAGGAGGAGGAGGAGGAGGAGGAGGAGGAGGAGGAGGAGGAGGAGGAGGAGGAGGAGGAGGAGGAGGAGGAGGAGGAGGAGGAGGAGGAGGAGGAGGAGGAGGAGGAGGAGGAGGAGGAGGAGGAGGAGGAGGAGGAGGAGGAGGAGGAGGAGGAGGAGGAGGAGGAGGAGGAGGAGGAGGAGGAGGAGGAGGAGGAGGAGGAGGAGGAGGAGGAGGAGGAGGAGGCGATGCAGGCGGAGGGCGTGCGGGAGGTGGCTGTGGCAACTGGCCTGGAGGTGCTGTACCAGGAGACCCCCAACTACCGCGGAGCGGCGGCCGAGGCTGACCGCATGATCGAGCCTAGGGAGACGGCTAGGCATGCCTGGCGAGTGCCAGACCTGAGTGTGGAGCCTGTAGCTAGTGCTCCCGAGGAGGCGGTGACCGAGGGGGGTTAGGTAGAAGTAGAGATTCATGCATGTATGGATGTACCCCCCCAAAGTAAGAAAGGTTCATTTAGAAGACACCCCCTCTTTATAAGAAAACCCCTAAACCCCTGTTCTGATTATAAGACATATATGTCTTATCTCGTACACACAAATAGGTGTCGTATAAAAAGGCTATCCCGATTATAAGAGACACCCGTATAGTAGACAACCCCTGTCTACTATTCAACACTGTCTTATATCCGGGCGATGACGGTAAATGACAAGGATGATTGGGCTGACATGGTTAAACACTGGGAAACATTGTGAAGATTCACATGCGAAGTGGAGTTGTGCTAGTCAGCAGCAGCAATTGGTATATCGCGAGTGATAGGCAGCAATTCGCATGCGAAGTCGAGGTGTTTTCACGAGTGACTAAGGCATGTGACAATAAAAACAGGCCAACAACCTGCTTGAATGCTTTTGGGGTAAAAGAATCCACCAATCACGATGACAGCAATCACAACTCCTCATGTAGTTTGCCGCTGCCCGTGCTGCCCGACGCCCCAAAAGTCTTCCGAACCACTTCCTTCTGGTCTTCTGTAAGCGATTTGGGGAAGTCTACAGTGAACTGCACATATAAGTCTCCCTTCTTGGTGGTGTCGTAAATCGGCATGCCCTCGCCCTTTATTTTTCTCACCTCCCCTGGTCGTGTGACACCCTGCAAGGGAGGTGATTATACGGGGGGAGAGGGGTGGGGGAAGGAGACCAGGCGTGAACACGACAGTCAGGAGAGGAGGAATGTTGGAAAGTCTACAATGAACTGCACGTAAAGGTCGCCCTTCTTGGTGGTGTTGTACGGTGAGAGCGAATGATGGAGTGAGGGAGCGACAAAGGTGCCGGCGCTAGTAACCCTTACCGAGGTGCCGATTTCCACGAGGTGCTTGTCGAGGTGAGTGATGGGGTGAGAGTGAGAGATACAGTGACGGAGAGAAGTGAGGGGTTGAAAGAGGTGCTGATAGAGGCAGCACGTACCGAAGTGCCGACTTCCACGAGGTGCTTGTCAAGGTGGGTAATGGAGTGCTGAATGACGGAGTGACTGAGTGAGGGGGTGATGGAGAGAGTGGCAGACATTTCACTAACAGTAACACTCACAGTAGTGCCGGTTTCCACCAGGTGCTTGTCGAGGTGGGTAATGGAGTGCTTAAAGCCCACGAGAGCATCCACCTGCAGGCATCGGAAGTGGGAGAGCAGGAGAGTGGAGCGTAAGGCAATGCAGGGCTGGGAGCAAGGGCTTGAAACTTGAAGGAGTGCTTGAAACTTCACCAGAGCATCCACTTGCAGGAATGGGATACAAAAGATGCGTTTGGGGTTACACGATGGCACAATGGGGCACATCGGAGCGTGTGGGTGCACATGTATGAAGGTTAGTCTCTACTTCAAAAGAAATGAGCAGGCACTCTTTACATGAATAAAACATAACAGGCTCGAAAATATGTGGCATAGATATTATGTGGCTAAAGGAGCAGTGACGAGATGTGGTGTGACGACAAACAAGAACGATGGTGTGAGATTCAGGTAGCAACGTGCATGAGAAACGGTAAGGTCTAATTGTTACAACATACGAGAGAGATGGTGAGGTTCATGTGCAGGTCGTCCCCTCTCCGCTCAAACTGCTTGTGCGGCCGCGTCTTGATCACAAGCTGCAAGGCATGACGGGCAAGGCATGACGGGCAAGGCATGACACATGAGAGGTAAGAAGACACACATCACAAGGCGAGCAAGGAGGAGGGCATTAATGTCGCTCAAGCAAGTGCCGTCAAGTCTACATGGCTTATGGCTTCAGAAGGTGGGAAACAACTTTCGAGACGTCTAAACATGTCGATACAAACAAGTGCCCGTCAACCCTACACCCCTTCACGCTCAAGTGGAATCAGAGGAAGGACGTGGAACTGCGGAAGAAAACAGAAATGAAGACAAAACAGTGGTGGGGAAGTTGGTGGGGTGAAAGACAGTGGGAAAGGAATCAGAAGAGCGGGAAGGAAAAGTTTGTGCATGTGGGAATTGTTAGTGGGTGAGTGTGAGTGAGGGCGGGAAGCACCAAAGAAGAGGAAAAGGGCACGCACCTTGAGGTCACCAGGATCGCCATCCATAACGGGCTCTCCCTCTTCATAGAAGGTGATCTCCTGCATATACGCAGACAGACAGATGCACATATGGGGAGAGGATGCATGATGAGACAACAGTGAGGCACGACGAATGCGTTGCCATCCATGACGGGCTCTCCCTCCTCGTAGAAGGTGATCTCCTGCACGCATGCACACAGACAGACAGACGTTGTAGCAACACAGCACAGCACAGCACAGCACAGGACAGGACAGGGCACATAGGGTTTAGGTAGGTAGCCAGCCTTGACGGGCTCTCCCTCCTCGTAGAAGGTGATCTCCTGCACGTAGAGAGACGGCAATGACAAGCACATAAAGGGGGGAGGGGGTGCCTATTTGGGCGCCTCACAGACTAAGGTATACATGACTGAAAAACAAGCTTTTTTAGGCAGATGGGCAGAGCAACACCATATGCTTAGTGGCAAGGAGACTTTTGAGTCGACTCAAAAGTCACCTGACTTTTGAGTCGAGGTGACTTTTGAGTCGACTCAAAAGTCACCTTTTTTAGGCAGATGGGCAGAGCAACACCATATGGTTAGTGGCAAGGAGGGGGGTATTACAGGATTGAGAAACAAGGTCCAGTAATTTGAAGTGCCTAGTACGAAACTTGTCCAGCATGACAGAGATTGTTAAGTTAATGAAGCTATTATTCATTCTTCCTTTGCGATGCAATCACACACCTCTGTGACTCGCCTCTGCCACCTTATCAGACACAACGGCCTGCATGTTATCTGCTCATCTGCCCACGTGTTTCTTTCTTCTCACCTGCCCCAATATTGTTCAGCCCATGCACATCGTCGCACCAGCCCACGAGCATCACAGATCTCACCTGCCCGTCCTTCATGCCCTTCTCAATGTCCACGTCGATGGGCATGCCCTCGCGCTCGTACTTGACGTTCGGACACTCCTGGCATTCCTGTAGGTACAGAGTGTATGGAGCATGAAGCAAGGAAAGAGGTATGAGTATACAACTAATGTCCATGTTGATAGGCATGCCCTCACCACTCGTACTTGACGTTCGGACACTCCTGGCATTCCTGTAAGGAACAGAATGGACGGAGCATGAAACAAGGAGGTATGAGTATACAACTAATGTCCATGTTAATAGGCATGCCCTCGCGCTCATACTTGACGTTCGGACACTCCTGGCATTCCTGTAAGGAACAGAATGGACGGAGCATGAAACAAGGAGGTATGAGTATACAACTAATGTCCACGTCAATGGGCATCCCTTCGCGCTCGTACTTCACGTTTGGACACTCCTGGCATTCCTGTAGGCACAAAACGTATGGAGCATGGAACAAGGAGAGAGGTATGAGTATACAACTAATGTCCACGTCAATGGGCATCCCCTCGCGCTCGTACTTCACGTTTGGACACTCCTGGCACTCCTGTGGGGTGCAAGGTGGACGCAGCATGGCACAAGGAACGATATATGCACAGCCATCCAATGTCCACATCAATGGGTATGCCCTCGCGCTCATACTTCACGTTCCGACACTCCTGGCACTCCTGTAAGGAACAGAATGGACGGAGCATGGCATGAAGTACGAGGTATGTAATGCCATGGCACACCTAATGCCCGGATCGACGGGCATCCCCTTGCACTCGTACTTCACGTTGAAACACTCCTGGCGTTCCTGTAGGGAACAGAACAAATGGATGGAACAAGGCACATAGGGCAATGAGCAGCGAGCTTCCACGTACGCAGGACATTCTTCTTAAGAAAATATGAACAGGAGGGACACCCACTCACCCACCCACTCACTCACCCACCATTCACCCACCCACTCACCCACCCACTTACTCACCCACCATTCACCCACCCACTCACCCACCATTCACCCACCCACTCACCCACCATTCACCCACCCACTCACCCACCCACTTACTCACCCACCCACCCACCCACCCACCCACCCACCCACCCACCCACTTCACCCACCCACCATTCACCCTCCCACCATTCACCCTCCCACCATTCACCCTCCCACCATTCACCCTCCCACCATTCACCCTCCCATTTCTTACGGCGATCAAACCAGCTCACCCACCTGCTGTGTGAACTGCTGGAACATGCCCCGGGCGATCTGCCTCGTCACCATGCGCGCCTTGCAGTTGCACTGATACACTTGTGTGCTATCGGTCACTCATCAGCTCCTCCCTTGACCCACCCACCTGCCTGCTCTCCTCTCCACCCAAGCACCCATGCTCTGTCTGACGGCCCTACCTGCTGTGTGAACTGCTGGAACATGCCCGGGGCGATCTGCCTCGTCACCATCCTCTCCCCCTGCACGTGCATGCAATTGCTCCCTGAATGCACCCACTCACTACCCACACACCCACCACCCACCCACCTGCTGTGTGAACTGCTGGAACATGCCCGGGGCGATCTGCCTCGTCACCATCCCCTCAACCTGCACGTGCATGCAACTGCTGCTCGCGTGGACCCAGTCTCGCACCAGCTGCTCCCTGAATGCACCCACTCCCTACCCGCACACCCAGCTTCCAGCACCCACCTGCTGTGTGAACTGCTGGAACATGCCCGGGGCGATTTGCCTCATCACCATGCGCGCCTTGCAGTTGCACTTGCGCTTGCCGGGTGCCGATCGCACCACGTTCTTGTCTCGCCACACCTGTGGGGGGGACGCAGGAGGTGTGTAATAAGAGGCAGGGGGAAGATGGGATAAGGAGGCCAGTGGGTCAAGAGCACTTGCGCGCTTGCCGGGTGCTGATCGCACCACATTCTTGTCACGCCACACCTGTGGGGGGGCAGGCAAGGCAAGCACACGGAGTGGAGAAGGTGAGGAAAATGGGACAAGTCGCCTCATTACGAGCTTGCCGGGTGATGACTGATCACGTTCTTGTCACTCCACACCTGTGGTGGGGCAGGCAAGGCAAGCACACGGAGTGGAGATGGTGAGGAAAATGGGACAAGTCGCCTCATTACGAGCTTGCCGGGTGATGACTGATCACGTTCTTGTCACGCCACACCTGTGGGGGGGCAGGCAAGGCAAGCACACGGAGTGGAGAAGGTGAGGAAAATGGGACGAGTCGGCTAAATACGTGCTTGCTGGGTGCTGATCGCACCACGTTCTTGTCATGCCACACCTGTGGGGGGGCAGGCAAGGCAAGCACACGGAGTGGAGAAGGTGAGGAAAATGGGACGAGTCGGCTAAATACGTGCTTGCTGGGTGCTGATCGCACCACGTTCTTGCCACACCTGTGGGGGGACGGAGGAGGTGTGTAACAAGAGGCAGGGGGAAGATGGGATAAGGAGGCTAGTGGGTCAAAACCACTTGCGCGCTTGCCGAGTGCTGATCGCACCACATTCTTGTCACGCCACACCTGTGGGGGGGCAGGCAAGGCAAGCACACGGAGTGGAGAAGGTGAGGAAAATGGGACAAGTCGCCTCATTACGAGCTTGCCGGGTGATGACTGATCACGTTCTTGTCTCGCCACACCTGTGGGGGAAGCAGGTGGGCACAAGGAGAGGAGAGAAGGTGAGGGGAGTGGGACGAGTTGTGTCAATACGTGCTAGCCAGGCGCCGATCGCACCACGTTCTTGTCCCGCCACACCTGTGGGGAAGCAGATGGAAAGGAACCCGAGGGAAGAAAGGGCAAGAAGGACGGGAGTGTGAACGTTTGACTTGATTCAGCTCCATAATTGCTTTCCGAGAAACATTGTATTCAAGCCCCGCTATTTGCCCCTTCAGAGGGCGGGTGCCTTAGAACAAAAACATTGTATTCAAGCCGGACCCACCGGCAACAACCCGCCATTGCAACAACCTTCAACCTCTTCAGCGACGCATCGAGCTCCACACCTAGTGGAGCGAACGGACATTCTAGTCTACCTGGAACACCAGGTGTGGAACGAACATTCCAATCTATTCCAATCTATTCCATTCTAGCCTCCTGGAACGACCTGGAACATTCATGACTTCAAACGACACCTCCAGGTCCACTGTGACTGCTGCATCAACTTCGGGAATCTCCGGGTTCATAGCAAAACGTCAAACGCAAGCATTCTTATCCAGCCCACCTGGAACGACCTGCCGTTGTACATGTCTTCTAACAACGCCTTGAGATCCACACAACCACACTGACCCTCCAGGCATCTACATACGCGCCATACACGTGATAAAAGAGATGTTTTGAGACGTCTCAGCACAAGATATAATCTAATTCACTTGGAACGACCTGCCATTGTACAGGTCTTCTAGCGACGCCTCGAGGTACACTGTGACTGTATCTCCCTTCAAAGTCTCCAGGTTCATAATAAACCAAGTCACGTCCCACCCACCTGGAACAGCGGATACTCTAGTGGGACTCACCTGGAACGACCTGCCGTTATGCAGGTCTTGCAGCGACGCCTCGAGATCCACAGAGGGAGATAAAAGCCACGTCACATTGCACCCAGACACACAGAGAGTCACAGGCCTTGTTACATTATACCCACCTGCAAGGATCTGCCATTGTACAGGTCTTCCAGCGACGCCTCCAGGTCCACCGGACTGCATTACCCTATTGACTGTCCAGGTTCAGTGTAAACGTGAACCGCCCCGACTGCATTCTAGCGGGACCCACCTGGAACAATCTGTCGTTGTACAGGTCTTCCAGCGACGCCTCCAGGTCCACCGGACTGCATTACCCTATTGAGTCTCCTGGAACGTGAGACGTGCACATGCGCAATGTAGATAAAAAAGCCGTTTCACCCACCTGGAACGACCTGCCATTGTAGAGATCTTCCAGCGACGCCTCAAGATCCACTGTAACGGCATCTCGCTTGGGAGTCTCCAGATTCATAGCGGAACATCGAACACACACATTCTCATACGCGTCTTAGGACGCGCACACTTGAATTCAACCCACCTGGAACGACCTGCCATTGTACAGGTCTTCCAGCGACGCCTCGAGGTCCACCGTGACTGCATTACCCTATTGAGTCTCCTGGAACGTGAGACGTGCACTTGCGCAATGTAGATGGGAAAGCCGTTTCACCCACCTGGAACGACCTGCCATTGTAGAGATCTTCCAGCGACGCCTCCAAATCAACTGTGACTGCATCTCCCTTGGGAGTCTGCTCTTCCTCCTCCTGCTGCTGCCCAAACCCACCGAACCCGCCAAAGAACCTGCCATGGAAAAGGAATGGCACAAGGAGCATTTCACAGGCCAGAGCTTTAGACGCCTTGGGGGTCTGCCTTGGCGCGCTGTACTGCTTTTTGACGCGCCTCTTTTTGAGGCGCCTCTTGTTAAGGCGTCTCAAAAATCACACTGAAGCATCCATCTTCCCGGGCATGAAAAAGCATCTCCTGTTGAACGTACTGTGAGAAGATGTCCTGGCCACCCCCAGCGGCTTGCTGCGCGCTGTGCTGCTTCACGCCCTCCTCGCCATGCTGGTCGTAGATCCGCCGCTTCTCGCCGTCCGACAGGACCTCGTACGCTGGAGCGTGGGAAAGGGAAAGAACAACGGGAGAAAACACGGGAGTTCAGGTGGAGGGGGAAGAAGGGGCGCGCTGTGCTGCTTCACGCCCTCCTCGCCGTGCTGGTCGTAGATCCGCTGCTTCTCACCGTCCGACAGGACCTCGTACGCCGGAGGATCAAGGGAACGATGGGATGCGCGAGCAACGACACGCGAGTAAGTGAGTGAAATGACGAGCACAAATAGATGGTGAGAGCAGGAGAGGTTGCGTTGGAAAGACGATTGAGTCGACTCAAAAATCGGCAACGAAACGCGAGTGAGTGGGTGGGATGGCGAGCACAAACAGATGATGAGAGCAGGAGAGGTTGCGTTGGAAAGAGGTAACAATGGAGCAGCCAGGTTTCTTGCCTCATGCCAGCTAACTGACGTTACAACAGGTGATGGGGAAGGAGAGATTGCACCAGAGACAGGGAAAAACGCATCGTAGTTGACTCAACAACCTTCTCGTTAGTGGGATTCCTGGCTCGACTCGAACGGCTTACCGTTGCCGATCTCCTGGAACCGCTTCTTTGCGTCCTCGTCTCCGGGATTCGTGTCCGGATGGTACTTGAGCGCTAGCTTGCGGTACGCGCGCTTGATTGACTTTTGAGTCGACTCAATTCGACTAGAACGACTCACCGTTGCCGATTTCTTGGAACCGCTTCTTTGCGTCCTCGTCTCCCAGGTTCTTGTCCGGGTGGAACTTGAGCGCTAGCTTGCGTTACTCGCGCTTGATTGACTTTTGAGTCGACTCAAAAGTCTATTCGACTAGAACGACTCACCGTTGCCGATCTCCTGGAACCGCTTCTTTGCTTCCTCATCTCCCGGGTTCTTGTCCGGATGGAACTTGAGCGCTAGCTTGCGGTACGCGCGCTTGATCTGATCCTCGCTGGCCGATCGCGGCACCTGCACGAAATTCAGTGGGACATTACCGGTGCTTTTGTCATGATCTCATTCCCGTTGTCAGTGGGACAAAATTCGTCACACATTTATCGGTTCCCCACCAATCCGAGGGTTTGAGAGTTTCGGCAAGCAGAATCAGCTTCGACGAGTCTAATAATCGTTCATGTGATCTTCGTAAGACCTCATTTGGAAGTACTGTGGATTTAGAAGTTGATACACCGCGTTCGGTCGCAGTGGCATTCGTTAGCTTGGTTGTTAGAACGATGGAACTACATGCAACCAGCGCACAAGTCACCACCTTTGCAGTTCTCGTTAAGCTCACCTGGAGAATATCATAGTAGTTGCGACTGCGCCGTCGAAGTCATAGAAGCATCCGATCGCGCAATTTGCCACCAAGCGAATCACAATCCATAGGAAGAAACACAAATTGTCGAATAAGAAAACGCGCAATGGCGCATGGAGGAGACAAATTTGAATGGCACGCCAGGAATTCCACGAATTTCAAATACGACAAAGATGCTTTGGGATTGGGGTCTTCGTAAGCATCCCATGTGCATTGTTGGTAACGAAAATCAGCAACAGAAGTAGAGCGATCGTCCACCAATGATACGTTTGAGCTGACAGCGCGTGACGAATGATAGTGGCACACACCTCGCGCAGCAGCACTGAAGGGCCAGGAGCAAGCAAGCTGCATGATAAAGGTGAATTTTTCAGACGTCTCAGAAACGATAGTGGCACACACCTCGCGCAGCAGTATTGGAGAGCCAGGAGCAAGCAGCCTGCTAGCAGCAGCAGTGATCCGCGAAGCGAGGCCATCGCGGCTGAACGGCGACAGCAGAAACAGAAGGCCTGGATCCGAAACCTGTTTTTTCACAGCCCCGCTTTTTCACAGGCTAATTCTGCCGAATTTCCTAAAATATCAGGCCTTGCTTGTGCTGATCGCCCTAGTCAACATATATAGCCAGACCCCTGTCAGCTAGGACGGCAGTCGGCCTACAATAAACCTAGAAGGCCAACGGGCATGACGTCGTTGCACCACACAGTATGCGCAGGGCTGCGATAGCTTGCTCAGATCCAAGCATAGAGCCAGTAAGACTTGTTGCGGGGATGAGGGTGGGTCACCCGCTTTGAGAGCCAGTCAATTCCAAGGGGTCAACTGTGGAAATCGCCAACGCCCAGATACGAGTTTCCCGCGTCCACTCCGTCACGATTAAATCCGGTGCATTGCGGTGCGAGAAAATAAATTTAAACAACCGTGCTATACCGTGTGGAAACCCACTAAATTGTACTGGCCGACCAGCAGAGCAAGGAGTGGTGGCTGTTCTGTGGAGCTTCCAAGGGAAATAGCTTCTGGACGACAGTGAGCTTCTAGAGATTTGCGTGGCAGCGCCACGCTGATTGGTGCATACATGGAAATATGGTCCACCATTGGTTGACGCTGTCGGTAGTCGCCGTCGTGATTGGAAGGTGTAACAATGGATGTTTCGGTCTCGCAAGATGGCTCATGGTTACAACTCTGTTTTATGTAGATCACTTGTTGTGGGGTATGTGGCACATTAAAACAAGACGTTCTTTGGTATATACAAGCTATATTCACCCGAAGAGTAAGAACGTTTTGAGGGTTAACCTCAGTAAGAGACATCAGCCAAATCTTCATGCTGTCCAAAAGCTTTTCATTATGGGTGAATCTCATTTCTTGGTTACATCACAGTTGCACCATGCTTGGAGAATAGAGCAATACTACGAAGGGATTCATCATGCTTGCTTTTTCCGGAAGAGGTAGTGGGAGACGATCCACTCTTGCCCCTTGGAGTATCCAAAGAGCTCAGCCACGGCAATGAAGAATGTGCGCCAGTACACCGTCCACTTGGTCGCTGCCTCCTTGCCGTATGTCTCCGCTAGGATCGGCCGGAGCTTCACAATGTTGGAGTCAAGGTTGCGTAACCACGCCTCACTGCACAACATACACAAGGATGAAATACAGATAAAAGCAGGCGATAAGATGGACATTTGGTTGATGAATATCGGGAGAGTGAAGGGATGTATATGCAAGCACATCTATCTACCAGTGTCAATGATTTATGATGCTGAGGTCGACCTGGGAGCACAGCAGCAGCTTGTCACACACACCAATGTTCACAGGTGCACACAGAACTATCCACATGCACAGCACTCATTCTCACTTGGTCCTTTGGTAGTGCATGCCATTCAAGCACCAGTGGTTGGCGATGCTGAGGTCGACCTGAAAGCGCCAGCTTGTTGCAGACACCCATTCCACACATAGCTACCCACATGCACAACACTCATTCTCACCTGGTCCTTTGGTAGTGCGTGCCATTGAAGCACCAGTGCTTGGCGATGCTGAGGTCGACCTGGAAGTACAGCACCACCTTGTAGCATGCACAATTGCACACAGAGCCACCCACATGCACAGCACTCATTCTCACCTGGTGCGCTGGTGGTGAGTGCCATTGAGGCACCAGTGGTTTGCGATGCTCAGATTGTCCTGGAAGTAGAGCAGCAGCTTGAACGCCTGCATGGTCGCAGCACACTCGCACACTCAACCACTCGTGGTGCAGACACACGCAATCGATCTTTCTCTCTCTCGCTCTCACCTGGTCCCTTGGTAGTGAGTCCCGTTCAAGCACCAGTGGTTGGCAATGCTGAGGTCATCCTGGAAGTACAGCAGCAGCTTGTCCGCTGGCACCGTGGCAGCACACACCCACAGCCCTACCTATGCACTAACCATACACACGTACCTCGTCCTTTGGTAGTGCGTCCCGTTCAAGCACCAGTGGTTGGCGATGCTCAGGTCGTCCTGGAAGTAGAGCAGCAGCTTGTCGCGTGTTATCACACACACATGCACACAAAACCACACATCAATGCATACCTGGTCCTTTGATAGTGCGTGCCGTTCAAGCACCAGTGGTTGGCGATGCTGAGGTCATCTTGAAAGTAGAGCAGCAGCTTGTCGGCCGGCATGGTGCCACCTGTGAAGAAATACCGAGTCATCCAGTCGTCCGGTCCTGCATCCTGAAATGAAGAAAGCAAAAAGGTAGAAATAACGCGTGATTCAGTTTGAAGGGGAGAGAGAGACTGCTGGTGAAGAAGTTCATAATGAGGACGCATTATGCAGCCCGTGCAGAAATACCGAGTCATCCAGTCGTCTGGCCCCGCATCCTGAAGAAAGGCAAAAACAATGATACACATATCATAAAAAGGCATTGTGCCAGTGCCATGCCATCGCTGGTCCCCCAACCTGAAAGAAAAAACAGGCAACTTTTTCTGTGAAAGTATTCGTGGATATTGAGGTTGAAGAGAAGCACAATTCTACAATAATTAATATACTGTTCAGATTGCACGCTCACCTACACAAATGTCCTGTTACAGCTGCTGATACCTCAAAGTGGTATGCAAGACCTTGTGCATGAAGATGTGGATGAAGAGCAACGCGTCTGGCTTCATCCAGTCACTCAGCTCAACCTATACACATGTTATATTGCTGGCTAACTGTACCTCAAAGTGACTCCTAAGGCACCTAAAAAAGATCAAACCACACCTCAAAGTGGTATGCAAAGTCCTTGTGCGTGAAGATGTGGATAAAGAGAAGCGCGTCTGGCTTCAATCAGGCACTCAGCTCGACCTACCCCGATTGTATACCTTCACACACGTCATAGGCGCTAATGTTTGTACCTCGAAGTGGTATGCTAAGTCCTTGTGAGTGAAGATGTGGATGAAGAGCAGTGCGTCTGCTCTGCTCTTCAGGACCAATCGCAAAGTCCTGCTGCATTACAAAGTACATACATCCAATTGTCTCACCTCGAAATGGTAGGCGAAGTCCTTGTGTGTGAAGATGTGGATGAAGAGGAGCGCATCTGGCTTCATCCAGGAAGCGACCTTCTTCAGCAGCGCCTGATAGTTCTTCATGTGCTGTGTGTGGGGGAGGGAAGGGGAGAGGGAAGTGCATAATAGACAGGCCAATGAGTAAACATGATGAGGTCTACTGAAGCCACTTTATCCAGGAAGCAACCTTCTTCAGCAGCAGCTGGTAGTTCTTCATGTGCTGTGGAGGATGTTGGAGAGGAGGGGGAGGGAGGGGCACGTAGTTTCAATGAGTGCCTCTGGCTTCATGTAGTGTCAATGAATCCATACAGGGCTTTGTTTGACAAGTGCGGCTGGCTTCATCCAGGAAGCAACCTTGTTCAGCAGCAGCTGATAGTTCTTCATGTGCTGTGAGCGTGGGAGAGAGAGGGGGAGGGGGAGGAGAGGGGCACGTAGTGTCAATGAGTCCATACAGGGGTTTGTTTGACAAGTGCGTCTGGCTTCATCCAGGAAGCCACCTTGTTTAGCAGCAGCTGATAGTTCTTCATGTGCTGTGTATGGGGGAGGGAAGGGGGAGAGATAGAGAAGGCGGGACGTTATGTTACAGGAACAATACAACGAAGTTTGTCAGACACATAATTCTTCATACAGAAAGCCACCTTCTTCAACAGCAGCTGGCAGTTCTTCATGTGCTGTTGAGAGAAGGAAGGGGAATAAGGGAGAGAGAGTGAGTGAGGGAGAAAGACTTGATGAGGTTAACTGAAGCCACTTCATTCATCCAGGATACTACCTTCTTCAGCAGCTGCTGGTAGTTCTTCATGTGTTGTGGGGCACAGGGAGGGGGATAAGAGAGAGTGTGAGTGAGGGAGAAAGAGATGATGGGGTTAACTGAAGCCACTTCATTCAGGAAGCCATCTTCTTTAGCAGCAATGGTAGTTCTTGATGTGCTGTGCGGGGGGAGGAGGGGAAGGGCACGCTGGCAACGAATCAATTCAGTCGATAGTTTGAGACTCACGATGAGGTACGCTGAAGCCACCTTCTTCAGCAGCAGCTGTTAGTCCTTCATATGCTGTGAGATGCAGGGAATGGAGGGGGGTGAGGGGGGCGTAAGAACGAGAGTGAAGAGGGAGAGTGATGAAGAGGTTGACTGATGCCACCGTCTTCAGCAGCAGCTGGTAGTTCTTCATGTGATGTGAGCGGGGGAAGGGTGGGAGGGGCATACGATACGAGCGGAATCCAGTTATCACACATCATGCAGCTGCAACAGAAAGTTCTTCATGTGCTGTGAGCAGGGGAAGGGTGGGAGGGGCATACGAGCGGAATCCAGTTATCACACATCATGCAGCTGCAACTCAAAGTTCTTCATGTGCTGTGAGGGAGGGAAAGGGAAAGGGTCGGGAAAGGGGAGGGAAAGGAGAGGGAAAGGTGGGGGAAAAGGGAGGGATAAGGGAGGGGCTTATGAGCGGGATCCATTGATCGCACATCAGCTCTTGAACACCTCACTCACCTCGAAACGAACATCTCAACAGACACCACTCTGTCGAAGGTCCCCTCTGCCTGAAACGTGTTCATGCTTGCTGTGATGACAAATGCACTCTCTCTCTCTCCTGCCAACCAACCCCCCACACAGCTACACCTACCCTAGAGCACTCACTCACCTCAAACATCTCAACAGACACCACTCTGCCGAAGGTGCCCTCAGCTTGGAACGTGTTCATGTCCGCCGTGATATTATCAACTCCTTCTCCCGCTCCTCACACGCATGCATACAAACCAATCCACCACACCTCACTCACCTCAAACATCTCAACAGACACCACTCTATCGAAGGTGCCCTCGGCTTGGAACGTGTTCATGTCCGCTGTGATGATGCGCACGTTAGTGATGCCTCTCTTTCTGCCACGAATGAAGGAGAAGGGAGGGGGTGCAAGGGAAGCTTTAGTGAGGCCTGTAGCACTCTGTCAAACGTGCCGTGATGATGCACACACACATCA